CCGTGGGCAGGGGCTGGGGGGCCAGAGCCGTGCACTTCCCCAGCAGGCACCCGTTTGGTGCTGCTGGCACAGCCCAGAGCAGGGGGCCAGTGAGGAGCACAACGCCACAGCCCGAGACTGCATGGGGAGGGTGATGATGCTGGGGGCCGGGGTGACAAAGCCGACAGCGCTGCAGTCCCTGCTGGGCAGCTGCACTAGCAGGAGGGAAAGGGAGCGAGAGCAAGGAGGGCTGGGTACAAGCACAGGGTCCTACCTGAACCAGTTAGTGAGGGTCATCATGACGTAGAGCGAGGCGAGGAAGAAGACGAAGTGGAAGGCTGAGTAGCTGTAGACTACCCGGTCTCGCTCATCCTGGATGATGCACTGTCTCCCAGCAGCCTCCTCCGCTTGTTCGCATGTCTGCTCAGTGCCTGGGAGAGCACAGGGGCACAGCAGCTCCGGCACCCCCTCCTCGACAGCACCCCAGGCTGGGGCACAGGCCTGCGCCCCCCGCACCCACCTCTCAGCTCCTCCTCCATCTTCTCAGGGCAGCAGAAGCAGCAGGAGGGTTTCTGCGGAGAAAGCAGCGCCCTGGTGACTGCTGCTGGGGCAGGGCAGCCCGGCCCCACGGCCGCCGCCGCTGTGCTGAGCCCTGCTGCAGGATCCGGCCCTGCCCAGCACCAGGGCTGTCTGGCTCCGAGGAGCCGGTGCAGGCAGGGATGCACTGTGGGAAGCCCCCCATGCTTGGTTGGACGAACCTGCCCTTGCCCCAGGCCTGGGGCTGGGACAGGGGGCTCAGGAGGGCTTGGGGCGGTGAGTCTGGGGTGCCCGTGGCAGGACACGTGGCACAACTTGGGGGGAAGGCATCCATACTCACTTTAAACTCGAAGCTGTAGACCTTGACCATCCAGAGTGGCCCGAAGACCTCGGCGAGGTAGGAGGCTTCATTACTGTGCCCGGGAGAGAGGCAGAAAGCCTAACACTGGCACCCACCGCCCTGTGCCAGGCCCCCAGCCCATCCCATGGATCTGACACGGCCTCAGGAAAGCTGCTGTGCCATGCCTGGGATCACTGCACTGCCCCTGCCCACCCCGACATCCCTCGAGACATCCCCCAGCTCCGCTGGCCATGCCACAGCCTGGGGATGGGGTTCCCGTGCGGTGTCTGTCAGGCTGGCCGTGCCCGGAGGGGACCGTGCTGCAGGCACCCTGCCTGCCCACCCCGCGGGCACACGCACCATGCGAAGAGCACGCAGGCGTACATGATGGCGGCCCCCAGGATGGCGACGGTGGTGTCCTCCGTCTGCAGCTCGTCCTGCCGGATGCCTGGGAAGCAGACGGTGAGGTTCTGCCCCTTGTAGAGCACTGCGGGGAGGCAGAGGTGAGATGGATGCGTGCCCTGGGGCAGGGGGGGCTGCTGGCGGCAGGCAGGAGCCCCCTCCTCTCTCTGGGGGACGGCT